AAGGAGTGGTCATCAGACACTCTCCAACTTGTTAGCTGGTCACTCATAGATTGTGAGATGAGGGTCAAATCAATGACCTCTCGCCTATTTTTAATAATGAAGGTGGGTTAATTTCCCGTGTTACATACTAGAAGGTTAGTATTAAGGATGAAGGATAAGAGTGACTCACCCCTCGGATTTGTGTCCGTGCTCCCCCACTGAGTGTGGTGAGCATTGGCGTCGCAGTCTATAATTAGGCCGATCCTGTGCTTCTCACACTCCTGGACGAGGGATCTTATAATCTCGTCTGGTGGCGGGCCAGCGCTATCGCAGACAGTAGCCTTACTGGAGCTGACTGGAGATCCAGGCTTACCGCTGTGTTGTCGGCATTGCTAAAATTATGAAGCAGAAAAATATTTAGATGTCTTCTCGCGAAGATGCAGATGCGTTTTTTACTTTCATTTCCAGTTACTAAAAGCTTATAATCTTTATTGCCTAGTCCGCAAACCTTTCCTCCGATCACCAAAAGTTCTTGGACTAGTATTATGTCGTCTCCGCCTCCAGACAGGCGGAGCATCAGAGCAGCGGATGCTGCTTTACTGTGGTGAAGGTTTATCTGCCGTAGTCTCAAGGACATCCGGAGATTCCACCCTCACTACCGTGTTGTTGCTGTCGTCCTCGTCCGACGGCGTGAAGTCATCCTCGTCTAACTCGTGACACAAGGCCTCAAGGCCCTGAGTTAGAGTCGACGTGTCCGACGTGTAACCGGGTTTCAGCTCCGATCCCCGCAGGAGGGCCCTGTTCAGCCGTCTTGTTACAGACAGCAGGGTCTCCTCCGGCCGGCGCATCCGATTTGTATATCTTAACGGTAATGGAGCCGAAGCCAAAATTGAGCTCGCCTTTGGCAGCTTCGATGGGGGCCAGCGATTCCTTGTTGAGGATTGGCACTGCCTGGTTGGTTGGTCCATCGGTGGCCTCAATCTTCACCACCCTCCAATCATGGGTGGGAAGAGAGGGGTTGCATAATTGCAGTAGGTTTAGCACCTGGTCCGGTTCCTTCAAAGAGGCCGGGATCCAGATGCGTGGGCGAGGTCTACTCGGGACTTCGCTCCAGTCGATAGCGACCAGCTTCGCCCCGGGGTAGACCTCACCAAGCTCTGCTACGGCAGCTTTATAATGTTCTACCGAGCGAGCATCCTGGCAGGCGATGACCTTCGTGTTACCCTGGTACCACCCAGCATCTCTACATACCGGTGGTGGCCCAGGCACCTTGCTCAGCATTTTCAAGCAGTGGACAGCGAGGGCCCCTTCCACCCACTTCCACTGATTCCTCGGGATTCTGCCGTCCTTATTGCCCTTGTCAAGGATCCCTATTAGGATTCTCTCCTTGGCAATTTCAGCAAAGGACCTTCCCGGCTGCACTTTGGCCTGCTTTGCAACGAGTTCATGAGCTTCTTGCGAGCATTTCGCCTGGCACTGCTCTTTATTGGGTGGTGCCTCACAGAAGTTTGGCAGCACCTTCCTGGTCCACACCACCGCTAGTCCGGCCCATTACCTCAAACCAAGACTCTGTCCTTTCCCAGGGACAAGATTATGGAAACAGTTCATGTTCAAGGTTCGGGGCACGAGTCTTAGCTAGCATCGGTACCTTGCAGGACCACTATAATTCTATTACCAGTCGGCACCCTCGTGGAGAGTCCAGTTGAGGAATTTTTGCCAACCGCCGACATCCTAAAAAGCGTGACTTTCTGCTTGAGCCTTATATAAAGCGCCCTGGAGCACTTTAATATCGTATTTTACACATGGGTGCCAAAGTTAAGTCTACCCAGGTATTTAACCTCCCTACTTGTTTCTAGTAGGGCTCCTAAGAGCCATATTTGCCTCATCCTCTGTAACTTATGTCGCCTAGTGAAGGCGACGAGGACTGATTACGTAGGCTTTAGGTTGAGTCCAACCTCATTACACCAGTCACTCGTTATTCTCAGCCATGACTGGAATATGTCACAAAGCTATTCTTCAAATTTACCTTTCGCTATAATAACAATGTCATCGGCATAACCTTGACATCGAATACCACTGTTTGCAAGTCTGTTAAGTAGTTCGTCTACAAACAGGCTCCAGAGTGGCGGAGATAATACTCCCACTTGGGAACCGCCTTTAGTGGTTAGGTTACAGTGCTATCGTGTAAAGATGCCGTGGCTTGTCTGGACCGCAGCATAAGCTGATGGGTCTGAAGGACTTTGGGTCGGTAATATCTTACTTCCCTGCTTTGGGGATGAAGACTACCCTAGCTCTCCTCCATGCGCCCGCTATATGTCCGAGGGCTAGGCTGCTTACTAGTGCTTTCCTAATAAGGGAGAGGAGTACGTCCTAGTCCGTTTGAAAGAAAGCTGGCGATATTTCGTCCATTCCGGGTGATTTTTAGGGTTGGAATGTACCAATTGCCCAATTTAAGCGCTCCCTTGTGACTGTCGACTTGGCGCATGCCCAATCTGTATCTACTCTCTCTTTCGATAGCAGCTTCCTGCAGGGGCGTACCTGGGAAGTGAATTTCGAAAAGCAGTTCTAATTTCTGCACATTACTGCTTGTAAAGGAGTTATCCTTACGCTTCAGTGCTAAGTTTTCATCAGGCGTTCGTTTCGCCAGTACTCTATGGAGCCTGGCGCCTTCACTTGTGCTTACTATGCTTTCGCAGAAGTTTCTATAATTCTTCCGTTTGGCCTTTCAGATTACCTTATTATAGGATGTCAGACTTTCACGATATTGTTCCCATATTCTTTTAAAGATGTGATGTGTGGTAATGCGCAACCTTTCCAGGCTGTCATGTATTTTCCCTACCGGACTATTATCCTCTTGGGGTGGCCAGCGGTGGTGTATGCTGCTGCGCCGCTTTGGAGCTGGCGTTGGTGCGAGACGCTTCCCTGGGATCTGACTTTTCAGGGCTGAACAGGAGCAAGTCCTTACGGAGGTACCGTAGGTATACCCTGGAACCGTAGAGGTTCCGCCGGACAGGTCCTTCCCCCCTTTTGCCCTGGGGGGGAAGAACCTTTTTTTCTTTTTTGGGCGCCCTGCGCAGCAGTGCTCGGTGCTGGGCGTGGTTGTCGGGATGGTCCAACTACCACTCTCGCCTCGAAGCCGGAGCTTGCGGTGCTTAGGGCATTCTCCTATTTGGTGCTGGAACAGTACGGTGTGATGCATGGTCTACCACACGAGAGGATCTCTCTCTGCCAAGGACTTGATCCTCTAAATGTCTTGCGATATTCTCCGCAGGGAGATCCTGTGGTAATTTTGTGTATTCAGAACGATTCATGTTGTTCTCACGATCTGCTCGGGCAGAGATCCGCGTTTCCCGGGTATGGCTATTTAGAACAGACGGTCGACATTTGCCTGAGCCCACCATTAGTGGCTAGGGCTACTTTTTAGCCCGGGCCCCCAGCCAAGCTGACTCTCGGCACGGTTCAGGTAACGTCTTAGTCCGGCCCGGAGTGAGGTAAGGTGCGGGGACAGGATGGGGATAGGTAGTAGTGTGGGGAAATAGGCGGTTGTGTAAGGCTATGCTTCAAAAGGCGCAACACAAGCGCCGGTACGAAGTGTCGGTACGATTGACAATATCGCACCCGCTGTTTATCCGGGACTGTTTATTTACGATTAATCTCGTATTATTCGCAGCTAACCTCCTCGGGGGGAGGCCGATCGCTATCCGCAATCCGCGACCTGCTTGGTGGCCTCAGCTCAGCCCCATCCCAATTGTCCCACAAGTTTAGACCAGGTATGAATGAACATAAATGAAACCTTTTCTTCGCAAAGAAAATTTAAAATGGGCAATAAACAGATTCAAGACGATTAAATCCCAAGGCCTTGACAACATAAGTTCAGCCCAATTACAAAATGCGGGCGCAACAGCCACAAATTGACTAAATGCAATTTTCCAAAAAGCTCTCAAGACTGGCCAAATCCCTCCCGCTTTGCTTCAGTCAGAAATCATCTTTAAACCCAAATCATATTTATACCCAAACTCCAACGTGATTTCCGAGCTTTGTGCCATCTGTGTAGAAAGCCACGGTTGCTAGTGGACCGGATGTTTCGTGGGCAAGGCCCATATTCTGAGGGACACATACTGCGAATTCTCTCAGTCTTATTGTCGAAAGTGAGCAAATTAAGAACAAGTGGCAAATCGAGCAGACTCAGCGGAAGTACAAGACGAATTATGACAAAGACGGCTTAGCACTTAACTTGTTGAAGGAAGGGAGCTCGCTAGTACATTTCTTTGTCCATATAAAATTAAGACTAGCGCAACGGTCGATATGAGGTCAAAAAAGCTGCTCAAGATATGAAAATGCATACGAGGAATGGATGACGTTTGGGCCAGACTTCGATGATCAAGATGACCGAATGTAACGCGAAGTTACAGTAGATTGCAGTGCTGTTGGGTGGCAACGCTGGTTAACAGACCTATTAGCAGCATAAGCATTCATCTTAGAGGAAGAGTCGTAGAAGAACAGCAGAACGAGACAGTCGAGTTCGTGAAGCTCAGGGTCATCAAAGTCCAACAAAGTGGGAAAGTTGTCGGTGCGTCGAAAAATAAGTCGTTGGTTTTTAAAGTCGGTCATTGCTTTGTACATCCAATACGCATCTTTCACTATAATAGACTTACAACTTTTATATTATTAATAAACAGGACATAATCAGTCCTACATTATATTATATCTTATATATAATATATTTTATATATATAATAATATTGATTGCTGTGTGCCAGACATTCCATTCCAATCATTTCATGTCGAAGTACACAATTCAGTTCAAAATCCGTACCGACTTGTCTAAATGAATACGTATGTGGTTTTAATTGGGATCTGCTAAGAAACCATAAGAAATAAGTGAAACTCAACTGCGAATTTGTGTCTGCATATGTCAAGTTTATTTGGTTAGTATTTTTTGTATGTTATTTTTTCTTCTGTTATTATTATTTTTTTTTTTGTCAGTAGTAGTCGTCGAAAAAGGAAATTCGTTTTAAAACTTATATCAGAGTTCTCTGGAAGATTGGCCTTCCATTTATTGCCTGCAGACTACGGTAGTTGTTTATCAAAGGAAGCCTGCGTTCGTCTAGCAAATCCCAAAATTTGGCGATCTGTCGTCTAGGTAGTCTCACAGAATCCAAGAACACAATCCAACTAACAGATTCGGCGCATTCAGGCATAGTCATGGAGCCTGTTTTACAATATAGAATATATAAATATATGTGCATAATAGTGAGAGTGAAATATCTTCGTTGAATACATACCAGAATATGCGTAAAACCTTCCAGTAGGAATTCGTCCCAAGAGATCGTTCATCGTTAATTGCCCAGCTATCATCGTACTAGATTGGTCTCTAATAACTTGAGGTAATCGATCTAAGATTCGGTTAAGGCCAAAATGCGTCGAGGAAAGTGAAGGTACAGCCTGAAACATGACTGTCAAAGCGGCAAGACCATCTGGACGCAAACTTGCTTCGGCTACCGTGGCATAACGAGCATTCTTATGAACAATGTGCATTTCGACGTCGTAACGTTGACCATTGATGAGATGCTCGGATCCACGACTGTTGGCCGAGCCCCAATGGAAGTGCACGCTGTCCGCTTCAAAGGTGCCTGGCAACAGGCCGCCCTGGATGGAAGCACGCTGTCCGTTATTTGTGGGCGGCAAAACAATGTTCGCTGAAGTACACTTTAATACTGTAATTAAGGCACTGATAAATCAAAATTACCGCACACCTGTATGCCCATTATTTGTCATAATCAGCGGTGACTGCAAGACCCGATTGTAGTTCGTGAAACGAATTCCTGGTATGGGTACGCGAATAGCCTGTGAAAGGTAACTTTGCTAGAAAACGTCCAGTGTTGTGATGGCTTATGCTACTCACAGTGTTGTCCGCCAATCTAATTGGAGATTGACTTCGGCCAGTTGCGCATGTTCCCGCCCAATCCATGCCATGTTGGTCGTGGTTGAATTGTCCACTCGCCTGTTTGGCTGCCAGCAGTAAGAACTGCAGAAAGACTATAAGTCCCCGACGATTTAAATGACACATTTTCTGTTTCGATGCGTATGTAGAAGTTACAGGTAATTTCTGACGATATGCACTGAATAACGCTTGTAAGAAGACTGCAATAATTGTGCAATGGGACGCAGCAATTTATAGGCGTAGAGTCTTCGTGGCGTGAGCTTCTTTATTCTTAATTATAGAAAAGTAAGCCGCAGCTGCTCAATTCAATTGCGTATACATTGTACTCTACACTGATTGTTATTCTGCGTTCATTTATTCGCTTCGTTTTGCACGCACACTCACTCAATGCAATTTGTTTTGAGTACGCTACGAATTGTACCGCGCCCTTCTCAATCTATTGTGCCCCCTTCTGAGCCTATAGCTCTTCCATCAGCCCTAGGTCCCGCACGAATGTGAGGATTGTTGTTGGGTTGAAGGCTTCTATGTCTCTAAAATGCGTAACATGCATCCCTAGGTGGCTGCATCTTCTTCTAGTTAAGGCGACACATTCTGCTAGGATGTGCATCGAGGAATCCATCTCTCTCTCACAAATCCTGCACAGATCGCTACTAAATATACCCAATTTAGTTAGGCAACTTCTTAGTCTACAGTGTCCTGTCAATATCCTGTAACTTATGTCGTCTAGTAAAGCGGACGGTGACTGTTTTCGTAGGGTTTAGGTTGAGTCCAACCTCATTACACCAGTCACTCGTTATTCTCAGCCATGACTGGACTATGTCACAAAGCTATTCTTCAAATTTACCTTTCGCTATAATAACAATGTCATCGGCATAACCTTGACATCGAATACCACTGTTTGCAAGTCTGTTAAGTAGTTCGTCTACAAACAGGCTCCAGAGTGGCGGAGATAATACTCCCACTTGGGAACCGCCTTTAGTGGTTAGGTTACAGTGCTATCGTGTAAAGATGCCGTGGCTTGTCTGGACCGCAGCATAAGCTGATGGGTCTGAAGGACTTTGGGTCGGTAATATCTTACTTCCCTGCTTTGGGGATGAAGACTACCCTAGCTCTCCTCCATGCGCCCGCTATATGTCCGAGGGCTAGGCTGCTTACTAGTGCTTTCCTAATAAGGGAGAGGAGTACGTCCTAGTCCGTTTGAAAGAAAGCTGGCGATATTTCGTCCATTCCGGGTGATTTTTAGGGTTGGAATGTACCAATTGCCCAATTTAAGCGCTCCCTTGTGACTGTCGACTTGGCGCATGCCCAATCTGTATCTACTCTCTCTTTCGATAGCAGCTTCCTGCAGGGGCGTACCTGGGAAGTGAATTTCGAAAAGCAGTTCTAATTTCTGCACATTACTGCTTGTAAAGGAGTTATCCTTACGCTTCAGTGCTAAGTTTTCATCAGGCGTTCGTTTCGCCAGTACTCTATGGAGCCTGGCGCCTTCACTTGTGCTTACTATGCTTTCGCAGAAGTTTCTATAATTCTTCCGTTTGGCCTTTCAGATTACCTTATTATAGGATGTCAGACTTTCACGATATTGTTCCCATATTCTTTTAAAGATGTGATGTGTGGGCGCTGTGCGCCTTGCCTCGCAGCGCTCGGTGCTAAGCGTGGTTGTCGGGATGGTCCAACTACCACTCTCGCCTCGAAGCCGGAGCTTGCGGTGCTTAGGGCATTCTCCTATTTGGTGCTGGAACAGTACGGTGTGATGCATGGTCTACCACACGAGAGGATCTCTCTCTGTCAAGGACTTGATCCTCTAAATGTCTTGCGATATTCTCCGCAGGGAGATCCTGTGGTAATTTTGTGTATTCAGAACGATTCATGTTGTTCTCACGATCTGCTCGGGCAGAGATCCGCGTTTCCCGGGTATGGCTATTTAGAACAGACGGTCGACATTTGCCTGAGCCCACCATTAGTGGCTAGGGCTACTTTTTAGCCCGGGCCCCCAGCCAAGCTGACTCTCGGCACGGTTCAGGTAACGTCTTAGTCCGGCCCGGAGTGAGGTAAGGTGCGGGGACAGGATGGGGATAGGTAGTAGTGTGGGGAAATAGGCGGTTGTGTAAGGCTATGCTTCAAAAGGCGCAACACAAGCGCCGGTACGAAGTGTCGGTACGATTGACAATATCGCACCCGCTGTTTATCCGGGACTGTTTATTTACGATTAATCTCGTATTATTCGCAGCTAACCTCCTCGGGGGGAGGCCGATCGCTATCCGCAATCCGCGACCTGCTTGGTGGCCTCAGCTCAGCCCCATCCCAATTGTCCCACAAGTTTAGACCAGGTATGAATGAACATAAATGAAACCTTTTCTTCGCAAAGAAAATTTAAAATGGGCAATAAACAGATTCAAGACGATTAAATCCCAAGGCCTTGACAACATAAGTTCAGCCCAATTACAAAATGCGGGCGCAACAGCCACAAATTGACTAAATGCAATTTTCCAAAAAGCTCTCAAGACTGGCCAAATCCCTCCCGCTTTGCTTCAGTCAGAAATCATCTTTAAACCCAAATCATATTTATACCCAAACTCCAACGTGATTTCCGAGCTTTGTGCCATCTGTGTAGAAAGCCACGGTTGCTAGTGGACCGGATGTTTCGTGGGCAAGGCCCATATTCTGAGTGACCCATACTGCGAATTCTCTCAGTCTTATTGTCGAAAGTGAGCAAATTAAGAACAAGTGGCAAATCGAGCAGACTCAGCGGAAGTACAAGACGAATTATGACAAAGACGGCTTAGCACTTAACTTTTTGAAGGAAGGGAACTCGCTAGTACATTTCTTTGTCCATATAAAATTAAGACTAGCGCAACGGTCGATATGAGGTCAAAAAAGCTGCTCAAGATATGAAAATGCATACGAGGACTTCGATGATCAAGATGACCGAATGTAACGCGATGTTACAGTAGATTGCAGTGCTGTTGGGTGGCAACGCTGGTTAACAGACCTATTAGCAGCATAAGCATTCATCTTAGAGGAAGAGTCGTAGAAGAACAGCAGAACGAGACAGTCGAGTTCGTGAAGCTCAGGGTAATCAAAGTCCCGAGTACCTAAAGTGGGAAAGTTGTCGGTGCGTCGAAAAATAAGTCGTTGGTTTTTAAAGTCGGTCATTGCTTTGTACATCCAATACGCATCTTTCACTATAATAGACTTACAACTTTTATATTATTAATAAACAGGACATAATCAGTCCCACATTATATTATATCTTATATATAATATATTTTATATATATAATAATATTGATTGCTGTGTGAAGTATACAATTCAGTTCAAAATCCGTACCGACTTGTCTAAATGAATACGTATGTGAATTAAATGGGATCTGCTAAGAAACCATGAGAAATAAGTGAAACTCAACTGCGAATTTGTGTCTGCATATGTCAAGTTTATTTGGTTGGTATTTTTTGTGTTATTTTTTTTCTGTTTTTTTTTTTTTTTTGTCAGTAGTAGTCGTCGTATATATATATATTCAGTGAAATTCGTTTTAAAACTTATATCAGAGTTCGCTGGAAGATTGGCCTTCCATTTATTTCCTGCGGACTACGGTAATTGTTTATCAAAGGAAGACTGCGTTCGTCTAGCAAATCCCAAAATTTGGCGATCTGTCGTCTAGGTAGTCTCACAGAACTCGAGAACACAGTCCAAGTAACAGATTCGGCGCATTCAGGCATAGTCATGGAGCCTGTATTACAATGTAGAATATATAAATATATGTGCATAATAGTGAGAGTGAAAAATCTTCGTTAAATGCTTACCATTATATGAGTAAAACCTTCCAGTAGGAATTCGTCCCAAGAGATCGTTCATCGTTAATTGCCCAGCTATCATCGTACTAGATTGGTCTCTAATAACTTGAGGTAATCGATCTAAGATTCGGTTAAGGCCAAAATGCGTCGAGATCAGTGTAGGTACAGCTTGAAGCATGACTCCCAAAACGGCAAGACCATCTGGACGCAAACTTGCTTCGGCTACCGTGGCATAACGAACATTCTTATGAACAATATGCATTTCGACGTCGTAGCGTTGACCATTGATGAGATGCTCGGATCCACGACTGTTGGCCGAGCCCCAATGGAAGTGCACGCTCTGCGCTTCAAAGGTGCCTGGCAACAGGCCGCCCTGGATGGAAGCACGCTGTCCGTTATTTGTGGGCGGCAAAACAATGTTCGCTGAAGTACACTTTAATACTGTAATTAAGGCACAGATAAATCAAAATTACTGCACACCTGTATGTCCATTGTTTGTCATAATCAGCGGTGACTGCAAGGCCCGATTGTAGTTCGTGAATCGAATTCGTGGTATGGGTCTGCGAATAGCCTGTGAAAAGGTAACTTTTCTAAAAACCGTTCAGTGTTATGAAAGTCTATGTCACTCACAGTATTGTCCGCCAATCTAATTGGAGATTGACTTCGGCCAGTTGCGCATGTTCCCGCCCAATCCCTGCCTTGTTGGTCGTAGTTGAATTGTCCACTCGCCTGTTTGGCTGCCAGCAGTAAGAACTGCAGAAAGACTATAAATCGCCTACGATTTAAAACACACATTTTCTGTTTCGATGCGTATGTAGAAGTTACAGGTAATTTCTGACGATATGCACTGAATAACGCTTGTAAGAAGACTGCAATAATTGTGCAATGGGACGCAGCAATTTATAGGCGCAGAGTCTGCTTGGCGGGAGCTTCTAAAGCAAAGATAAGAAGCCGTTTTTTGCTCAGCTCTTGTCAAGCGAGGTTGAAAATTTGTATAGAGGTTGCAACGTATTCGAAATATTTGAATTTTGTCCTCATCACTGCGTCAGTCAGCTGCGTTAGTGCCCCTGACACTGGTTCATCAAACTTCTTTCCAATAAAAGAAAGTGAGAAAGAGCTGTAAAATCTTGTTCCAGCTGATTGCACTTGGAAAAAGGTTTCTTTCATTTGGCCATTATTTATCAATTTATTTATATATATATATTTTGTTAATAATAAATTTATTATTAAAGGTAATTTAATTTTGTATTTATGTATTTATATTGCCAGCCCATATATCCCATCCTAAAAGAGTCGAAATAAATCAATAAAATAAAATCATTAGTACAACAAGTACCGCTAGAAAAATGTATTCAGTCATGAAAAATCATTTTCCAAGGTACAAATTTGAACAGAGATTTAAGAAATTGTTTTCATTTTGAAATATATTTGTATACAAATCTTTTAAAATTAACGGTTTTCCCTCCTCTGATCACTTTTGCACTTAAAAAGAATTGGCAGTGCATATTTAAGTATAAGAGATGAGTGAGTATATATATATATATATATAGTTAATTTTGTTTTTAATTGGGTTTTGCGAAATGAAATAAAAGACTGACACTGGGTTTTGTTTAATTCATATTGTAATTGCTTAATTATAGAAAACTAAACCGCAGCTGCTCAATTCAATTGCGTATTCATTGTACTCTACACTGATTGTTATTCTGCGTTCATTTATTCACGCGTTCATTTTTGCACGGATGCAATTTGTTTTGAGTACGCTAGGATTCGATTTGCTTATTTGATTGTAGTCTGTACTTAAAGAAGCTGCAGTTTGAATACAGGCGTGCAGATACATCTTTGAAACAAATATTCAAGCTAATCGCACAACGAGCCATTAATTATTATAAAATATACTTTCACATTTTCTTGTCGTTATTGAACATTTAAAATTCCAAAAATCATTCCAAGTGCACTCTCGTCCCAACGGAATATTTTGGCTAATACTACTTGTTTATTGATATATTTTTTATTTTATGAACAATTACATTTATATTAAACATGACAAAAGGATAAATGGATCTGGGGGTATTCAAGAGAAAAATGGTTAAACATTTATTACAAAGATTAAGTAAATCCAGAAAAAGACCAATAAGACAAAATATGGTTCATGGCAAGAGATAGAATGAAAAGGAAATTGAATGACAGAAAAAATAAAGAAGAGGGGGAAATCCTTGAACCTGTATTATTATTACAATTATTACAGACCTACTAACATATATTTGTAGCACACATGATGTTAAAAATCGCAGGAAATATATTTGAATAGTAATAGTATTTTAACTCAATATGTTTAATTTTGATGTATGATAATGATGGTCAATACAATCTATATTGATTATTAATATTTCTCAAGCTTCCGTAAATAAAAAATAAAGTTTCCCGAAGTTTTAATATTAGATGGTAATTATAACACATATTAATAATGAAGAGTAGGTGTTAGTTAACTTTCTTTTCATTTATTTATTTAGATAATTTAGACTAAGCGTAGCCTGCAAACTTTAAAGATTAAATATTAATGGAATAGTTAAGCTAAAATTTAAAATGCAAAAAAAAATATATATAAAATAGTTGGGTGTAAAGTGGTCCAACAATATAGCATGGATTGGGAAACCCATAAGTATGCAATCAGAACAAAATTGTTAATGATTAGAGACACAATCAGATATAAAATATCATGTAAATGTTATTTGTAACTACACGTGATTAAAATTAATTTTCACATTAGAGATAATTTATTGAATTCTGTACTTGCACAACATTGACACTTGCACAACATTGAGTTCTTGCTTATAGGGTTACCCTCTCGCCGATAAATCACATGAGTTATGATATAGACTATCTTAGGCAAGCTAGAAGTTCCTAAACAAATCTCAAGGTCGAAATGGAAGCTAGTTTATGCATATGTGTTATTTCTATTTGCATTTATATTTAGCTAAGACAGAGAAATTTAATAGAAGTAATGGAATTTTAACATTCCGTTGCCAAGAACCAGGAATGAGCAGGAAAAAAACACCTAAATTTCTATCAGTTCAAAAATAATGTATTGCATGAAAATATTTTTTTTTACCAATCCTAGAATTTTGACATAAGCTATTCATATTAGACTACTTATTTATCTAAACTGTACACTATATCATAAAACAATCTCGAACAAACTCACCAGTTACGTGTGCTAAAATGATTCTTACATTTATATGTCGGACTTCTTTTGTATAAATAATCTATTTTCTCTGCAATTTTTTATTGTTTGCCGATAGTTTCCGGTATTCAGTCTGCATTTATTTATTTCAGTTTAGTTATATTTATGCCCGTTTACAACTTTCGGAAAGAAGTTGAACAAAAGATTTGTTATTTAAATTAAATTAATTAACATTTCAAGTATATTAGCTTCACTTGTGAACACCAAAAATCTGCTGTCATAGGTATACAAATAGGATAATGAATGACTGAATAATTTTCTTAATTCACTCCAGATTAAAATTAACTTGCGACCAGTGTATCAACCGCATTCTTAAAATCAAAGTTCCTTCAAAACCCAAATACCGTATTTGATATTAATTGTCCCGAAAGGAGATATCAGAACCAAAACATCTTAGTGTGTGTACCTGTATTCAAGCTGGTATTTGAGAACTTGTATTCTAAATTTGAAGTCTCTTAATGTATTTGATACCCGTTTATTCACACAGACGGACAGACAGATGAACATGGCTAGATCGACTCGACTGTTTTTTTTTCCTTATGGAGTCGGACATTCCTTCTTCTATAAGTTACATAAGCTTGCACAACTTCATTGTACCTTTTTTTTAATCAATTTTTAATGGTTTTAGGCTATAATCATAGCGAAGACACATACCATTGCCCACCTGCTGACACCTCAATTTCATTTAAAAACCCGACCGAGCAATAAGATATATTTATTTGTACAAAGTTAGTTTATTTTTCTGAAATGATAAGAAGTACCATTACTAAAAATGTAAAATGTCTCCAAGAGATTAGTTGCTCCCAATTCGTTGAGTATGCCTCATTAACTAGTAATGCCATGATGAAATTAATTTTTTCGAATGACTTCACTTAATGTTGTAATGAAAGTCACATACTTAAAACAGAATTGAAAAAAAAAAAACACTAGAAAATAAAATTAAAAAGGAGCCCATGTATTGAAGTGCTCGATCATTTCACTCAATCGGTATTCGAGCTCCACTCTTTTGGACAGTTGCATAATTAACAAACCGAATTTGTAAACAGCAGCATTGAGACCAGACGCTGGTTTAAGAATGAAACAATTTTGTTCTTATTCTTATTATATTGTTATTGTTACTTATTATTGATGTTTCAGAGCCAACTGGATGTCTTTGTGACTGCCACTGATATTGTTCAAGTTTGTCGCCAGAGAGGAATACACTATTTATTTATTATGTATTTAATTTATTTAAAGTTGACTAAAACACGTCCAAAAATAAAAATACAAAAATTCAAAATTAAAATTAAACTATAAATTAAAAAAAATTAAAAATTAACTATTAAATGAAAATGCACCCATAGCACCGTCATAATTTTAAACTGATTTAACTCATTAAAACAAGTGACTTAACTTATAATATACCCGCTGTACAGGTAAAGCGCGAGACAGTTATTAAAACAAGTAAGGGATATGTACAAGTTGCTTATTATTATTCTGTACCTTTTTTTAACATAACTTAATTTATTATCCATGATAAGTCTTAAAAAAAACTGCTCATTGAGCACCGTCGCCACTCACCACACCTGCTTTTGGAAAATCATTAACTTTCCACATTTCTTGAAGGGCGTTTCTCTTCATAAAGCGGAAATGCTTTTTACACCCACCCACAAATATTGAGTTAGTTTATATATCTGTCAATTTTGGAGCTAGAGTCATTTATATTTAAAATGTGTTTCAATACTTTAACACCATAAACATTATATTTTACTTTTAATTAAGTCATTAAGTGTATCATGTCGTACCAGAAGTAGGCAACAAGCGTATCGACCTCCTATATATATATATATATATACACTACATACATTATTTATATATTTTTGATGCGGATTTTCGAGAGACCCCCTTACTAAGCTAGATAATAACTACTGAGATTCAGGAGTGCGATAAAAAACGGGTCGATTGTTGCGACGCTGAAGTACCCGGTAGTTATTTCTTATCAGATTGCCATCGGAATCCTGCAGTTTCCACAACTTGACCACATCTGTCATGGCTACGGGCAAGGGCTTGGCAAACACCGTCCACGTAACAGCCTCGTTGCACTCCGGCGTGGTTAACGATCCCCTGTAGGTGTAAAAGTCGCGTGTATTCAAGTCGCCCAGCAATTGACCAAGTGTGATGGAGCCTGGTAGCTTGGCTTCGCTGTGATATTCAACCAAATTGGGAAGCTCTGCATATATCTTCTTTAGTCCTGGATAAATGCGATCCGGTATCTGTAAAGAAAAAGAATAGATTTGTATATTTTTGACCAGAAATGCATACGCCAGTCCGTGTGTCAAACCGAAACGAATAAGTATACAATTTTTGAGAAATATTCCGGTATTTATACTCTGATACCGAAGGTTTTCAGAGTATATTAGTTTGGTGCAATGTCCGTCATGCTGTCTGTTCATCTGTCTGTCTGTATGAACGCAACTTTTTTCGACACTCTTAGGGAAAAAGCCTAGAACTATGCAACATATATGGGTCTAAGAATGGTCAAACAAAGTGTAAACATTAGGGTGGTACGACCACTAGGAAGCTAGGGAATCGATAAAATCGATAGCCACAATCGATAAGGCCATATATCTCCCACAATTTTATGGATACAGTCAGTCAATTTGGTTGGTAGGTTGTTAGGGATATCCCTCAAAGATCGACATTGGCTAAGAATCCTTATCGCTTAAAAACCGCCCACAGTTTTTGAGTTAGGGCCAACAAATTTTGAAGGCATATCACGGGTAAAAAAAAACATTGGATGGTCACGCACACTCCGCATACCAAAACCGATAAGCCTCATGGTATATGTCGATAAAACCATTTATCTTCTAAAATTTGATAGCTAGAAGGCAGTGGCGTTTCCAAGGAAACGTCACCAAAGGCAGAACGAAGCACCCTATAAGGCACATATATATTTATAATCAGCTTCAATAGCCGAGTCGATCTAGCCATTTCAGTCTGTCTCTCCGTCCGTATGAACAAATGGATCTCAGAGACCTTAAGAGCTAAAAACATCAAGCTGGGAATATAAGTTTTCGTATACCAGTTTAAACACAGGATTGAACATTCTGATATTGCGCTACGATGTTTTTAAACGAATTTTGAACTTATGCACTGATTCCAATTCTGAAGCTCAATCTGTAAAAATGCGGTTCCTGTTCCGGGTTCAATTCCGATTTAGGTTTAGTATTAACTCACTCTGACAATCTTAAACATAATGCCGAGTACGGCAACACCATCTGAATAGTTTAAGGCTTCGTCTATATTGGTGTAGCGTGCATTCCGATGCACAATATGCATTTCCGCATCGTAGCGTCTCTTATTCACCATATGCTCGGATCCGCCGGAAGCAGGCGATCCCCAATGCAAATGCACGCCTTCGGCCACATATTGTCCCCTGAGCAGGCCGCCTGCAATAAATGGTTTTTGGCCATTGCGTGTTTGTGGTATGGCCATTTCAACTGAACAGTGACAAAATACAACAACAAAAATTCGATTATCAAAATGATTTATACAAATGGTAATACGATCTTTCACATACCCGTGTATCCTTTGTTAGCCAATTTTAGCGGTCTTTTGAGCCTTACGTCATAATTTCCAAAGAAAATTCGTGGTAGCGGCCTAATAATAGACTACGGAAAGCAAGACATTAAATGAAAACCACACTCAGAAAAAAGCACCCTTAATTTTGGAAATGCACCATACTTTTGCCGCCAAGGGTTCCTCACCTTATATTCTGGAAATAATTTTCTAATATCGAAGATTGTGGCTTTCTAAAAAACAGTGTTTACATTTTTCAATTTCGGAGCGGATTTTGCTAAAATTAAAAAAAATATATGTCTGATTTCCAAGGTGATTGTTATCTATGTGTGTATTTTGAGGAATTCTTATATTATCTTTTCTGTAAGCTAATCATTAGTTTTTTAAGATTTCACATGTACACAAACAGTTTACATAGTTTATAAATTCATATAACTTAATTTGAAAATCGAACGATTTGATCCCGCGACAGTAGGTTAATTTCATTACATTCATTACTTGTTTGCTAAAAATAAGGACCTGCATTTAGACTTTGCAGAACTATTTTCTATTATTAAAATATATTCCTAGACATAAATTAATAGAAAAAAACCCATACTTTTGAGATTGTATATTTAGGGCTGGCCTCTCCAAAAAGAAAATAAATAGTCTTTCTTATTTTTAGAAATTAATTCTAAAAACAAGAAAAACTTTCTAATTATAGACCGATTTTCATTTTATGGCGATTTATTTTCTGAGTGTATACATTTGTTACCCCCTATACCCATAATCGAAAGCAATTTGCACAGATAAGGCTAATAGTGAAAAGAAGCGAAAAATTGCGTAGAGCTTAAAGAAAATTGGGCCATTCGGAAGCAATTTCGTGAAATGAGCTCTCGAGCAGCATTTATCAAATTAGCTGTCATCGTTTGTAACGGAAACAGTGAGTATTGTGTGCTGTAATAGATTGCAGTGCAGTTAACCAGCAGTCAGCTAACTTGTTTCTGTGGCATGTGGTAATCAAAATTTTAATTTACGGATTGCTGACTTTGGCGCATTTACATAAACGTGCTAAGATATTTTCTATAATAATATTTCTTCGCTTTTTCCATGTCTTTAAGATAAACTAAAATTACGTTAAACTCTATCCATATCCACCCATATAGAGGTGAAGACTGAAGAACCACAAACTTCGCTCAACTAAGATGCAAGTATTAAATATGACATAAAATTTGCTTACACTATTAATAGACAGTTTAATAGGGCTCTGCCTCATACCAGCCGCACAAATTCCCTCCCAATCCGCACCGTTTTCGTTCAAATTCCAGTCGGCATTATCCGCACTATCATTATCTAAAAGAAGAAGCAATCAACATAATTAATGAGCTGAGCCATAGTTATCAGTTTCACTTTCTTCCACGCGCTAAATGGTTTTTGCCACTTCTCTCTCACATCGTCACTTCAAAATTCTTCTTTACGCACAATGAAAAATATAACTAATATTAAGCGGAATTGGGTGAGAATTGAGATTGATTCTTTCACACAATAAAGAAAAGAGTTACATTTCCACACTTACTATTTGGGGGTGGCTGATATGCGAGTGCCACCAATATAAATATTCTTTGGAAGAGATTAGATGATTGCATAATTTTTTTGTCTTATTATTTGTATGTTGATAATTGTTGTAGCTGTCAATATTTCTTCACATGTGAAACGAGACGTTTTTTTATGTGGAACTACGATTAAATTGGCTGCTGCGGCTACCGCTCGAACACAACTGAGTGGGCCTGAAAAACACAAAACCTTTTATACCACCAAGAGAGCTGCGCGCAGTCGCAAAAGCCACACAACCGTCGCAGTCTCATCCCAATATACACTTCAAATACATACACTACTTTGCATCGAAGACAACAGACAAATAAGCCATCTCAACAAAAAAAAAACTTTTGCGGAAAAAATTTTACAGCAAGTTTTAAAGTTAATTATTAATTTAACTCGCATTTTGTACTAATAATACTTAATTATTATATTATATTATTAAACACATTGGGCTGATTGTTGTAAATGACTTCTTCAATATGTTAAATTTGCAGAACATTTTTTTTTTTAATTTTTGCTTATTTATTTATTTAATGTCGATTTATATCAGTCGAAACGGAGAAATACAAAAAATAAAAATAATTTAAATATATAATATAATTTAAATTATATAATATATAATGTAGAATTTATGATGTATGCTCGTTAAATAGACATTTATAAAATAATAATAAGGTAAATTAAAGTAATCATTCCTTCTTGATTAGAGGATATTAGCCATGTTTTGTGTGATTTTAGTTGACAGATTAATACTCATTATTCCTTAAGCGGTATATATAGAAAAGAAACCCAGTGGATCGGATTGCTTTATAAATATACACATATATTGTTAAAAATTAATTGAAGCAAATTAAAAAGCATTTAAATACTCTTGATAATATGGCTTAAGTGGTAGTTTAGTCTCACCACAGTGAATACTTGTTTTATTTATATTTATATTTGTATAAATCTGAAGCTTTGTAATCCACATTGAAGAATTTGTTATTATTCTGTTAACGTTCTTCATTCATTTTCTTTCCGCTATATCCGCTATATCTACATTCTGTGAATATAACATTTTTTTGCAGTTGTGTTCCTATGCAATTTAATCGATTTTTATTTATGTATGTAAGTCAATTAAAATGATAATATTTTTCATAGGTGTTGTTAAACGATTTCTAATTTACTCTAAATTGGACTTGCTCCACTGACGCGAATGTTGACATAAGCATAGAACTCCCTTAAAAATGTTGTTAAGACATATGAAATAAATATAACGTCTTTACTTTCTCCTTTGTTCTTTCGCCAGTGTTGCTATTTATTAAATTTAGCATACTTAAGCTTTGTTAAAATATGGATTTTTTATTCAAATTTTTTTGTGAAAAAAATAAATAAAAAGTCGGTATTTGGAATTCGTGCTATACCACAAAGCTACAAATTTAACAATTTAAATCACTCAATCGCAAAAACAATAATTGAAAATGTCTAAATTAATAATTTATTTTTTTCTTTTCTCTTATCAGCTAAATTTCCTTCTGCCAGGGTGTGAAACTTCGGTGCATACAAGGCAGCTGTAGAATTTTATTTTTTTTTTTCGACTTTGTTAATTAAGACTGGTCATAAAGGAAGAATCGATCCAAAATTTGCTGCTTACGTCGTATACGTTAATTGTTCTTATACTGTACAATAATTGGGTCATCGAGTTGATAATAAACATATACATTTGTATTCGGTACTTTGTAGTTTACACGAATTACAATTTCGGTAACTTAAAAGGTTTGTGAAAAGGTCTGGATGGTCCAGTTCAGTTATAAATATATTTTAATATTGTATCAACGTTTCAGATACTAGTGTCCAAAACCGGTGAACCGATTACACAATACTTTTAACAGCTTGCAAGGTTTCGGTGAGTTGTTTTCCGGAGGCATGAATTTAAAACAATCAGCTTAAAATATTTAAACAAATTCAAAATATCTCTTGAATAAATGAATTAAATTTAAGCCATCTAAGTGACGATTATGATGGAACTTCTTTAAAACTATATTTTCTAATATTTCTTTATATCAGAATACATTCCTTATAGTTTTTAAAATGTACATGGTTTTTATGAATTCTGGTAGGTGGCGCTGTACACCCCACATTAGGAATTTTGGGAAAACTGTAGTTGCGCAAACTATTTTCAAAATGTTATTTTTACGGATATACAAAAATTTGTTAGTTCAAAAGATTTGTTATCGAAAAGAATTTATAATTAAATAAGAATTTAGAATTAAATTGTGGTAATAGCCGTAAAAAAGTATTTAAGTTCTCGCTGTGTTAAATGTTTTATTTAGACACCTAATTGGAAAGTAAATAAAATTTATCATTTGAATTATTATATACGAAAAATTAAAAAAAAAAAAATCAAAAATACATCTATGACTACATTAAAATAAAATCATAATTACAACCATGTTGCAGTCACATTTATTTATATTTTACACAAATCATCAATTATCAATTTCATTCACATTTGATATAAGTTATTAATTTTTTTGGTAAGGATGTCAGGCTCCCTTGCTTATCTCTCTTGAATCAGATGTTGTATTTGAAAAAAAAAATATTTTGAATACTGGTTTCCTTTGTGCCTTAAGCTCCATTTCATTATTGATTATCGACATAAACAAACATTTTACCAGAGAAACCAAAGTCGTTCCAGTTTGAAAATTTAAAGCATCATTTCATATAACGATGAAGAGACATTAAATTAAGTTCACAGTTGCTTATTACGCATTCAAAATTAAAATTATATTTTGTCCTTTTTTTGTGAACAAAAATCAAAAGGCAATTAGTAAATGCTCCTAATTGGGGCGTCTCACTTTTCGAGATGAATCAAATAAGATTCAATTGGAGAAATTATGTTTAAGTATAAGTCCATATCATAAAACCAAAGTAAACCAAATATAAAAAAAAATCACATAAAATAAAGAGAGCATTTTTAAATATAAATATCGGCTCTGATTGTAACCAAAGCTTGTAGTTAAAAAATGTATTTATTTTAACTGAACCATCTATCGCATTCTTTGATAAAAACTATGTAAATAAACACATTGTTTAACTGCTATAGAAAAAAACATCTCCGACTTCAAATTGGCTATTTCGTTATAATACTTAGTTCGAGTATGTTGTTTGTTTTTTGACAACTCTGCCAGATCAGCACGAATTGAAAACCACTTATTTATTATAGAAATATCCTCCTAATTTATTATTAGCCACAGCACACTTTTGGCAAGATCTCCATTGCATTTCCGATTCGAATACACTAAATATAAACTTTATAACAACAGAAAGCGAATCTCGCTTGTCAAAATAAAATATGTAAAATAAATTCAAATGGAAATGAAGTATATAAAATTCCAACGCTGTAGAAAGTTGATTTCGGCAAAAGAAAAAAATATATATATATATAAATAAAAAAAATCACATATTAAACATAACATTAAGTAAAGTTCTTTTAATACAGTTTTTTATACTTACTATATCAAAACACAATGTATAATGATATAATCATGATCATAATCAGAGCGCACAACTCCACTGAGAACTAAGCATAACTCTATCATAATTTTCTTACACTATTATACAGAATTGAATATATAACAAATGAATCAGTTTGTTGGGTCAAAAATCACCAACGGCATGTGATATGAACTCAAATTGGCGCTCCACGCTCGCGTCCACATCCAGAGCGTCATCAATGAAATGCATTTCGACATGCTCCTGAAATGCCTTGAACGACACCTGGCACGAATAGAGTTTGCCGCACATGGGACATGTCTTGTCTATGGAATCAGCGTTAATTTTCTCTTGGATGATATTGAAGCGAGGCGTGGGAGTGGGCGGAAGCGGTGTAGTCATCGTTGTCACATGCCCGTTGAATGTGTAATGTGAGGGGTGCTCACTGTTATCTTCAGTCTCCAAGCTCTTATCAGCCATTTCCGGCTTGTTGGCCGCCTTCTTGGCACACTCGGGACATGGATGCAAAGCTGCAAAGCGCTATGTTAGTAAATAAAAATAAAATAACGCAAATCATCGACTGACCCAGTCGAGTCTCTAGTTGTGTCAGCGCCGAGTTGAGCTGCTGCTGCTGTTTCATCGCCTCACGTCGCAAATCCTGCAGTCCGTCCATGCAGTGCTTGGCATCGGCATTGGCATCCAGCTCGCCGCTCACAGTGCTCACGTCGTCCACATTCAGTCCGTAGGGGTAGCCCAGTTTCGTCTCGAATTCGTCCAGGGCCACCTCTTCCAGGCTCATCTCAGTGATCAGTTTCTGGCGCAATTGCGGGTTTGGCGAGTGTTGTGTGAAAGTTTTCGATCGAATCAGGTTCTGATTGGCACCAATTGAAGTTATGCCGGCGCTGCGTATATACGAAGTGTTCGCCGCATCGTCGTCTCTTGTTAGCAGTGGCTGATCTTTCGATATTTTTGATAGACGCGCCCAGAGTCTCCGATTCTCGTTAGCCACCATGTTATTCTGATCTTCGAGCTGCTCCTTTTGCCGTTGCAGCTCATCCACCCTCGAGCGAAGCGAGATGATATCGCCATTTGTTGACCCAGTCCCAGTGGCACTCACAGTCCTAGTGCCAGTGCCAGTTGCAGTGTTTTCCCGCAGACGTTGGTTTTCCTCTTCCATATTGGACACTCTTCGCTGCAGCTGAATGCATCTTTCTTTCATTGTCTGCAAAGCGACTTGCAATGCGTAATTCATTTTATCACTGTTCGATGAACTGCTGCTGGCCAGGGATGTGGGTGTGATGTTGGCAGCTTTCGCTTCCATCGTCTGCCTTCTTGGAGTCGTACTCAATTTTCTAGAATTTAACTAGATGTGTTTTTCCGTAGCGTAGCTGTTTTCATTTTTCTTACTTACAATGACGAATGACTTTTATCGATATGGCATATCGATGTCGGTCTTTTCATTTTTTACTTGAATGTATTTGATCCATATGTCGTATCGATATTACAGCTCCACCAGTGCTGTATCAGGCTTTTTTCAGTTTGCCTGATACATTGGCAAACCGTCCTTGTCCGCAAACCTATTATTTTCTCACAAATTTCAGCAGCATGAATACATAAATGGGTTAGATTTTTTTTTTAATATAAGAGCATAGTGTGACTGCAAAATTGCGGCAATAAAATTGTATGTTTAAATTTGTTGCAACATATCGATAGAAATGCACAAAAACATCGCAGGACACAAAGACAAGGTTGTTAATTCGTCTCAACAGCTGTGAAGATGATATACGGCAAGAGTTTACTAAATAACTTGTTTCAATATATGAGAAACGTATGGCGGAATAGTTTTACAAGCATTTGCTTGTTGCAAAATGATTATTATTGTTATTTAAGTACTTTAAATTCTCGATCGTCGTGCATATCGATAGAAATTCGCCCAAATATCGCACGACATAAAGACAGGGCTGTTAAATTGTGTAAACAGCTGTGAAGATGTTATGCGGCAAGAGTTTAGCAAATAACTTTTTTAAATATAAGAGAAAAGTGTATGGAAACATCTGGCAGAGCAGCAGGCGCTGTAAGATAACACACCAATCGCCCAAAGTTTTGTTCTTCGGCACTGACAACTTCTCGTTGCCAAGTCTAACAAAGTTACATCAAAGTAAAGTCGATGTTGCCGTGGTCACCTCCTTCAAAAGCCCGGCAAATTGTGTGCGAAGCTATGCGGATAAGCACAAACTGCCGCTTTATCGTTGGCCCATAACGGCGGAACAATGCACCCCCTTCGAGTTGGGCATCGTGGTGTCCTTTGGCCATTTGATACCGCTGCACATCATTAACGCATTGCCGCGGGGCATCATCAATGTGCACGCCAGTTTGTTGCCTCGTTGGCGGGGAGCTGCGCCTATTATATATGCGATCATGAATGGAGATGCGAAGACGGGCATTTCCATAATGCAAATACAGCCTCATCGCTTCGACATCGGTCCCGTGAGTGCAGCAAACTAAAGTAGCTGTACTGCTAAACTAAAACTAAACAGCTAACCCAACTCATTTGCCCCTTGCAGATCCTCAATCAGCGCGAGATTTCCCTGAGAAGCGACATCTTCTTGCCTGAGTTGCACTCAACCTTGTCGCAATTGGGCGCCGAGCTGCTTGTGGATACAGTCCATCACCTGGAGGAGAGACTCTCAAAAGTGACGCCTCAAGATGAAACACTTGCCACTTATGGCAAGTAATTTGATACAATCAGTAAATGCAATTATATAATTTATAACATTTTTATAGCTCCCAAAATAACGCCACAAATTACGGAGATCGTTTGGAGTCATCAAACAGCGCTAGAGATCTTTGCGCGGCATCGTGCACTTTATGGCTTCAAGCATCTAAGCACAAGCTTCGAGGAGCGACAAATTCAACTGCTCGAGCTGAAGCAGCACGAAAGGGAGTGGGACAGAGCAGCTGCTCCAACTGCAGCCTTAGCTCCTGGCTGCTTTTGCTTTAATCGCCTGCGCAGATCGCTGATAATTGGCTGTGCAGGCGGCACTCAGCTGGAGTTGAAGCAGCTCCGCTTGGAGGGCAGGAGACCGATGAGTGCCCAGGATTTCAACAATGGTTATCTCAAGCGTGCACAATCCCGGCAATTTACGCAGAATAAACAAATCGCAATTTATTGATTGATGATAAAATTTTTAACCCAAATTGGTGGGTTTAATTTCATTGGAGGATTGCTGTGTGGATTTTTGCAGCAGATTTTTGGTGAACCACATGGGTCGTGGTTTCTTCATTTCGACAATGCGTTTGCCTTGCTGCTCCTCCGTTGTTGCTGTTGTTTCGCCCTCGTAGAGGACAATCACTTCCTGCTCGATGGGTTCCAGGCCAAGTTGCGCTTGGATTTTGTCCTGCATTAGCTGCGTTTCATCGCGCACTTTGGCGTAGCAGTGAGCTGTAGTTTTAGATATTTGATTTTTTAATTAAGTGTTATTATTGTACTTGTTCTGACTTACGGCAGAGCACGCCCATTTCGTGGTCATTTCCACATTGCAAGCAGGAGCGAAGATTTCTCTTCTCCTTCAGTGGTTTCCAAACATAATCGGGATGGCCAAATTTACGATTTAAGCGCTTTTCAACGCTGCGCCGGTGTTTAGGAACAGCCCACAAAATGCCATCGCCAATTAGTTCCCTTAGACTGAAGCTGCTGTTGTGCGGATCGCTGTGTGGTTGCACTATGTAGGCTAGCGCAGGTGCAGGTGGTGCAGCGTTGGTCAGGAACATTCGCTCCAAGTATTTTACAATGTTTGTAATTGATAAAAACAGGTTACGAGACATCGTGCAATTGAGCAAGTTTATGTAAATGCAGCGATGTAATCGGCGTGTACCAAGGTATCGATCAATTTCGACTCATATTGTGTGCAATATATAGATATTAATATCAATTAAGCTCGAAATATATTTTCATTTATCGATATACCCACAAACGTCGTCTTCATTGTGGCTTTGCATTCAAAATGCACATGTTTGTATTTATATATCGATTACGTTTCAATATTCGCTAAATCGCTTTGATTGCATACTAAATTCATATGCTCGCTAAGACATTTTGAATAATGAAAGGAAAGCCAACGATATGCTGTTATCGATATGCATCAGGTGTTGCACAGCTGTTTCGCTGGCAAACGTGAGTTGGCAGCTCCGTCCGTTTTCCAATCGGCGGCCTGCACAGCTGTGTTAACACTATTACGTCAAAACAAGTCTGCTTGTGTGCCAGGAAATTTAAAAAATTGTGAAATGAAAAGCCAGGCAAAGTTTAAAATAACTAAAAACAATTAGCATATAATAAGATTCTAGTGCCCTGCAATACGTAGAGGTGAAAACATGATGACGCTGGATGTGCAACAGGCGTCTTAACCAAGTCGGCAAGTACAGGCAAGTTAAGCGCCTGTGCAGTGCACCTCAAACTGCACAACGGATATGCAATTTCTGGTTGCCATAAGGTGCGGTGAAGTCAAGTTCAAATTCAATACGCTTTGGGCAACGTCTTCAAGTCGCTTAGCTTTCGCATTCGCACTCAAACCCACCACCGCTAAGCGCGAATAAACTCACCACAGCTTACTGGCAAGCTTGCTGCGCACACAGTGGTCAAAAGGCGAAACACTTCGCTGCAGCTGCTGTAGTCGGACGCAAGCAAAGCGCTCTGTCGTTTCAATTATTTGGCGCGTGTGTTTCAGAGTCATTATCTGAACATCATATATCTTAACTGTATCTGTATCTGTGTCGTTTTTTCCAATTCGATGCAGTCTTAAGCGAAACAAAAGCCAGCAATAATAATGCTGTTCTAAATTTAACAAGTTGCATTTTTTTCGAATTGAAAAATCTTTAACAGAAAAAAAAAATTAAATTAAATAAAAAAGGAAAACAAAAGCAAATCAAAATCAAATCAATCGCAGCATAAATAAAAAATGGCCTGTTTGAGCACTTCCGGTCGCGTCGCGTGCGTTTCGCGTCGACAACAGACGCACAAATTCATCTGTCGCCTGTTCCTTAATCATCAGCTGAGCTTGCGACGGCAAAGCAGCCAGCTGCCACCAGCAGCATTAGCAGCAGCTGCCCAAGGACAATGTATGAAAAAGTACACGAACAATAAGCCACAATTGGTGCGTAGCTTTCAAGGATTAGGCTGCGGCATTAACCAGGATTACCTCAGCTTGCTGGTGAGTACAAATCGAGAGATAAAAGGTTTATAGTTCACAATGATCTGTAAATTTTTTTTTATTATAATTTAGCCTTTAAACACGAAAAACGCATTTGAAATGTTTATTTATTATTATTATGTTTTCTTTTTGTTTTTTAATATTTTTGTTAAAATATAGGCATTAAAAAGTGAATAATTTATCTAAACTTTTGCTTATTAGTACTGATTTTTTCCTTCACTTTTTTGATATTATAAAATTAGAATTTTAAAGAAGTTGCATTTTTAACAATAATCTGTTTTTAGAGCAAACCCATTTTTTTTTATTATTTCTCCCATTCTCCATGAGAGTACAAAACGAGAGAGCTCCGAATATTAAATTGTAGCGATTGCTTTTTCAAAACTTTTATCAAACTGAAAAACTCATATTAAATTTGTATTTATTATTATTATGCATCTTTCTTTTCATTTGTTATAAAATAATTGGCTTTGGAGCAAAATCAGACATATTTTCTTTAATTTTTCATTCACAAAATACATACAGTTTGTCATGAAAAATTCATATTTTATCAATTCATTTTCTAAAAATGTATTTTATTATTGACTCTTACTTTTCTAATATTAAGTGGACTTCTTAAACTATTTAACAAAAAAATGTTCAAGATTCATTAATTTTAAACATTTTAAAAATTATACATTCTTTGGATTGTCAAGAAAGTGTTTGGACAACAGCTGTTGACGATTTTGCAATTTCTTTGTCGGCCGATCCCGTTAGAAATGAGCGATTTTTTGTCTAGCATTTTGTATGTGACCTTGGTAAACGGTAAAATTATTCTGTTGAAATTTGTTCGTTCAAGATCATTTTTGCATAAAAAAGGAATATAAATGAAGAGAAATGAAAAATAGATTGTGCATTAAATGAAGCAACTCAACACTAAAATCAGCTCACGCATGACTGCTATGATTGATTTGATTTGATCTGTTCTTTTGATTCGATCATTTGCTGCTCACAAGCACGAGGGAAGAAGAAGCATTTGGTCGTTTTTTACAGGTTTGATTGTCTTCATGGTCGTACTCTGGTGCACGGACACCCACAGATAGAAAATTAGAAATAAAATTATTAAAAAAAAAAATAAATTAAAAAAAAACAGCGACGACAATCACAACAATGACATCGACCGCCAACTAGTTGACAACAACAACAAGTCGTTGCTTGATATGCCCAAAGTGCATCAAGTGCTTGCCGCAAATGCGTCTGCGTGACTTAAGTTTTTTTTGTTGCTCTTTTTGCTTTGCTCTGCTTTGTTGTTTTGTTGCATTTGTTCGCTTTTCATTTCGCTGCAAAAGCAAAAGAAAAGGAAAGTGAAATTGGTTGTGGCTTTGACTTCGTCGTTGGTTATTCGCTATTGCTTTTGTGCAGCTAGCGTAAAGAAGACAACGACAACAACAAAAACAACAACCACAACAACATTTTGGTTGCTGTGGGCGCTTTTGCTTCTGTTGGCGGAAGCCGTTATTTATTATATATTGGTTGATTGTTTTTCGGTTTTGCAAATTTTATCATCACATATTTGCAGATGAAACATTTAAAAATTTTTATTTATTTTTATATTTTACACCAATAATTTCTCTATTCTTCTTGTGGCTTGTTTTTTTTTTGGTTGTGCAATTTATTTATTTAATTGTTTGTCGTTTGTTATTGCAAAAGTTGAACTGTTGCTGTTTGTGAACTCTAAGCACGAACCGGTGCCTGATAAACCACAAAGTAAATACATATGAATGTCGAACTGTGAGTTAAGTCACATAAGCGTTGCATTTATTTTAACTTTGTTCACAGTTTGAAAACTTTCTATTTATAAATTCAAAGTGCATACAAAATTTATATAAATGTGGCCACGATAAATAGTTAGTATTATTTATTTTTGTTTATTACTTTCAATTATGATTTTAAAAAATTTTAAGAATTGGGGAGACCCTGAAAAATCCCAATACGATACATATATGAATGTGCAAATCTAAAGATCCACTCTGCGAAATTCGATTAAAGGCACTTGTGTTTATGGTGCTGTATCAAGCCTAACTGGACGTTTACGAATTTTATAACGGTGCTTCTTACACTGTAATGATGCATTCGAATGAATGATTATTAAATTAAATTCGATTAGCATCAGCAATTGATGACTTGTTAAAATTAAAAGAAAACTACAACAATCAATGCTAAAAAGTCAACAGCAAAAAATGATCACATATCGGCATAATGTAAGGTTGCAAGTATCGAAACATCGTATTCATTAAATTTGATCAGGTAGTGATCGATTGGTTTGGAAGAAAATGAGAACAAAGCCAATATTAACGAAGGCCCACCACAGAGCCAGGTTAAATGTTGCAAAAGAATCCATGTCTTGGGCCCAGGAGTGGCATAATGTAGTCATTTCTGATGAGAAAAAATTTAATCTCGATGGTCCAAATGCTTTAAATTAAAAGGCAAGAGAGATTTTTTCCTAATCGAAGCTGTCGTTGTACTTCACTCATGATCTGGGCTGTATTCAGTCATCACAACAGGCCGTATGAGCTCAGATGGTTATAAAAACCTGCTGAACGTAGTTTTTTAAAACTTTATAAAGCATAAACCAGACCCAAATGGCTTATTCCGACAGGATAATGCTCCAATACGCGTGTCGGGGGCCTGTCGCGAGTGGTTTCGGGAAAACGATTTTAAACTTTTAGAAAGGCTAGCAAGATCGCCCGACCTGAATAATACTATAGGGGACATCTGTTCCGTCGAGCTTAAGTGGGTAACCGACATCACGAGCTACGAAAGCTGTCGTTAAGGAATGGTCCAAAATCCTACTATCTGAGTTTTAAAAAGTTGTTGAATCGATGTCAAATCGATTTTTTTTTAGTTATAAACAAATCTGGAGTCCAAACTCATTATTAATTTGTTATTTTTATGTCATTTCTACATATTATATTAATTTTATTAGCACTGCCTTTAATCGAAATTCACACCTTAACCTCACTTTAAAAAATCCTTTTTTATTTGAGGTATATGTAAAACAGCTAACTTTTGTGGAACAAAAAAATTTCATACATTTAATTTTCAATTTTGTAAGTTTTTCCTTATAATCAATTACCTTTAATCGAATTTCGCAAAGTGTATATGTATACAAGATGAAATTTTGAATGTATAATCAACGAATATAACGAGTGAATTTAAATTACGATTGAAGTAAAGTATTTTCTTAATTATGGCAATTTTCTAATTTTCTGCTTAGCTCGTGTGAAAGCATTTTCCTATTGATGGGAAGTTCTGTAATTGGATGCATTCGGGAAATTAATTCGTTAAGCATTTTCCATTTTACACTCGGATTGTTCGCATTGCCATGAAAATGTGCGAGCATTCAATTTGAGAATTAACACTCTTTATTGTTTTCGTGCACGCAATTTGAGCGGCCGTGGTTGAGAACTTGAGCGCTGGCCTTAATTGCTTTAGCATTGCACTTTTTCGCTCAGTGCATTGCATTTATGCCTTGTAAATAATGTGCTTTAATAATGGCCACTGTTTCAAGGTTTTGTTTGTGCTTGGGGTCTTAGATCGGTCAAGTGACAAACAAAAAATAAAAATAAAATAAAAAGGTAAAAAGGCCAAGTGCCCATAAAAATACACATTTTAATTGACTCGTTTGACACACATTAGGGCTATATTTAAGTTTAGACTCACACTTAAAAAATTACGCATTAAATAATATATACATTTTGAATCCAATTTTATGAGCTATTGAAGAAAATGAAAATGCAAGAGTTAAATCCAAAACCAATCCCAAAGGCAACTTTGTATGCAGTCGACGGCTTCAAATTAGTTATGCATTTTCGCTTGCTGGCTTGAAATTTGGTTAAACCGAATAAAAATTCATTCAATTCAGCGCCAAATGGTTTTATGCCCAGCTCACACACCGGAGTATGTGTGTATGTGTGTACCTCCATCATAGGTAAACAATAAACAAAAAGCAAAAAGAAAGCGCACGTCGCAGCAGCAGCGACGCAAGCAGCGCAGCCGAAAACGAGTAAGAGCGCTCTAGTCACGAGTGCTCGACTATAAAATGCCCTTTTTCGTCCCAGTCCTAATAATCCTAGAAGTGTGTAAATATTTAAAGCAAAGCAGCGAACAATACTTATAAAGTTAAATATTCTTGACGACAAGATATTGAAATTAATTTAAAATAATAAAGAAAATAAATGAATAGAACTTGAGTTGCGTATGGTAAACGAGAACCTATATACCAAATTATGTGTCTAAAAAAACAATACAGGGTACAAAAAGGCGCCAACAGTAGTCAACAGAAATAACACCAATAATAAAATAACCACACAGCTATGCTTTATAGTATTTATACACTTAGAAAAAAATTGACCTGAGTCATCCGGAAAACTAGAACATTTGTCTTTTTCTGAATATAATAAAAGAAAAAAATCCTACAAATTAGAAAGGCTTGCACTAAATCGACAATCCCAAATATTTGGTCTTTTTCTTAAATTTAGAAATACTTTGTAAAAAGAAATCTTAAGAAATTAATATTTGGCGTTTCTAAACATACAAAAAGCACTGAAAATTTGATACATTTATTTATTATGTTGTAAGAAAAGAAAATCCCTTGTTTTTAGAAATATACTTTTTGAATAATAAGGAGTTGCCGTTAGCGTCAAAAATATGGCGATTTTCGCAAATGCAAGTCGATTTTTTCTAAGTATAAATATATATAGTATACGTTTAGGTATATGTATATGTATCCATTTGTAAACATAAGAAACTCAATTGACTTTCTTCTTCGTTTTATTTGACGACAGACAGACAACAGCTTCAAAGTCAACGTCGCAGTTGCCACTGTCCCTTATTGCTCTTGGCTATGTAAATACCGATTAATCTTTATCTATCCGGTCGCAATACGAAAAGAAAACAAAACAAAAGCCTAGACTTCAGCTAGATCAGGGATTGTTATCATGATCGACGCATATGAATTGCTT